CAGAAAGCATCTGCCATATGTTCTTTGTTCCTTGTTTCACTGAAAAGCAAAGGCTTGTGCAACCCCCTGACACAAGCATATGGCTTAGCTCTTTTAAATGACCATTGCTCATGGAAGAGGCTTGATTTTCTCATGTACGGGGCCAGCATCGAGTCTGTCTGCACAAACTGGGACGTTTCCATTTAGCTGACTGAGATGTCAAAGGATCTTGTACAGCAGCTGCGTTCTTAACCACCGTGGGCCAGATTCAGCCTAGATGCAATGCCATTAAAGACCCTGAAGCTCAAGCCAATGGCATTACGCCTAGGACTCAACAGCACTGAGTTGCTCTGGGTATAGTTCGTTAACTGTATTTATTCTATCTAAACCACTGGGACTCAACAGTGCATTTGAATGAAAGAAGATCTTTACTTATAGCTAGGTTTAGTATACAGGTTGAACCTCTCTAGTCCGGTCCTCTTGGGCCAGGCAACATCCGTCATCCAGCAGGATGTTAGTTAGCTGGACATCCACTTATCATGGGCACGGCCAAGTTTCCCGCAATTCCATAAAGTTTGTTTACATCTACCAGTTCTGGCGCTCAGTGTTCAGTGCTGTTGTTCTGCTCAAATTTACCCTGAATGTCTTCTAAGAGCCCAGTAAGCAGTGAAAGTGTTGATAATGTTGCTAGACAATATTGATATCCCTCTGGGGTCAATCAGCAAAGCTCCATTGAAGTCAATAGATTTATTCCCCTCTAAACCCGTAGAGAATCTCACCCGGTAGACCCTTCAATGAATACAGCCCTTCCTGAGGGTATGTCTAGACTACATGGCTCCATCGACAGACCCATGTAAATTAGTGTACTCGAAAAAGGGAAATGAAGCAGAGATTTAAATAATTGCCGCTTCATTTACAGCCGATCAGCTGTTGGGCGGCACAGCGCAGTAGTCTGGACGCTCCACGGTCAACAAGGGAAGCCACAAGGCATAACGGGGTGGTCAACAAGGGCTTCCCTTGTCGACCACGGAGCGTCCAGACTACTGCGCTGTGCCGCCAAACAGCTGATCGGTACAGCATAGCAGCCATTTTTATGTAAATGAAGCAGCAATTATTTAAATCACTGCTTCATTTCCCAATGTCTAGAAACCTAATCTACATGGCTCCATCGACGGAACAATGTAATCTAGACATACCCTAAGAGAGAAAGCATTGACTTTATTTCACTGTATTTTAAAAAGTGAGCACTGAATTTTCTTGCTCATACCCTAGACCAGTGGTTCTCAACGTGGGCCATATGGCTCCCCAGGGGGCCACACCTTACTTCTAGGGGACCATGTGGAAAAACCCAGAACATTAGGGGGGCACAGTAAGTTTCTGAGTGGGCCACCCAAACTTAACTGCCAGGCATATGATGAATGAGGCTCAGAAGGGGGCCATGAGCAAAAAAAGGTTGAGAAACACTGCCCTAGACCACAGAGTATTGTCTAAAAATGGGAAGAACTATACATACCGGCTGGTTTTTCTTTAGCAGCTGTACTTGCACTGGTCATTGTGCTTGCAGTTGTAGTTGTGCGGGCACTGGTCGTTGTGTTTGCAGCTGCAGTTGCATGGACCTTTGTAGTGGTGCTCACAGCTGCAGTTGCACGGGCCTTTGTAGTTGTGTTTGCAGCTGCAGTTGCACGGGCCTTTGTAGTTGTGCTTGCAGTTGTAGTTGTGCGGGCACTGGTCGTTGTGTTTGCAGCTGCAGTTGCATGGACCTTTGTAGTGGTGCTCACAGCTGCAGTTGCACGGGCCTTTGTAGTTGTGTTTGCAGCTGCAGTTGCACGGGCCTTTGTAGTGGTGCTCGCAGCTGCAGTTGCATGGGCCTTTGTAGTTGTGCTTGCAGTTGTAGTTGTGCGGGCACTGGTCATTGTGGTCGTAGTTCTGCGGGCACTGGTGGTTGTGCTTGCGGTCGTAGTTCTGCGAGCACTGGTGGTTGTGCTTGCGGTTGTAGTTGTGCGGGCACTTGTAGTCACATTATTTGCAACATATCTGTTTCAACAAAACCAGTTGTTACTGCTAGGTATATTTTTCTATTTACCAAGCTAGACGTACAAGGCACTGCCATCTTTATTAGTGTTCTGCTAGAATTCTGGAGGTAGAAGGGTTCAGAAAAGTCCGCTGGAGTCAATGGGAATCTCTCCATTGGCTTCCCGGTGCTGGAGATTGAGCCCAAAGAGGAACAAAAAGCTGGTGGCTTTCGGGCAAACAGCTGAGCACTGCACCGAAGTACAATCTTGGCAGGCACGTACCAAGTTGGGTGGGTAAATAGGCAGTGAATCAGTTAACCCTGTAAGTATCCTACATCATAAGCTTGTAAAAAGAAATTCATTTTTCTCATTTTCACACGTACCCGTCCTGGTTTTTATAGCATGCCTATCCCTCCACAAGCTGAATCACCTTGACACACATGGTGTGTCTCGTAGCCACGTAGAACCGGAAAGAAACTCAAGCAATCATCTGCTCCCGCACGGTGAAGCAGAACCAAATACATCTAGACTGTGCATTATAGCACGACTGTGATATGAGGGAACAACCCGTGCCAGACATGACATCCCATGACAGCACCATCGTTTGGTGATTTACAATGATGCGGGTGAAGTAAAAGAAAGCTGCATAACTAATTAACATGATACATTGGGCTCTGTCGTCTTTGCTCTGTGCCTGGAAGTCTCATTGACCTTGCTGGGATTTTGATGACGAAAGAACCTGGCAGAATGAGTCCATTGACATGCCTTGTAAATCTATTATATATGAGAGAGTCTGTCTGAGAACTCCTCCTAAATGGTATCAGCTAGGACAACCATGTTCGGTAGACAGCTTTCTCTTATCATAACTCAGAGTTTGGTTGTGCCGGGACAACGTGACAAGCCTGGAATAGGATTGCTCCTCATAAAACCATACAGAAAAGAGACAATCACTAGGCAGGTGAAAAGGGCAGCTGGGTTCCTCTCCCCTCAACCAATCCAGAACTGCCCCTGTCCCAAGAGCCCACCTCTCCTAGGCACCCTTTAGAGAGGGCAGGGGGACGGAAGCTCCTCCCCCCTCAATTCATACACGGACATTGCTGGCTGTTCTCCTTTGTCAGGGAGCGAGGGGAAAGTGCTCAGTTTGCTGCATTCCTCACTCTGGCTGGGGAGCTCAGAGGGCAGATGAACCTAGACCTGCTCCAGACAGGGAGCATGCACCCCTCCCCTGGCTGTGCCCACTGGAGTTGCAGTGGTCATGGAGAGATGCTTCTCACCTGGCCCCAAGCTGCAATGGTGACAGAGGGCTGGGGTAATTCTTTTTCCCTGGGGCAGCCTGCTACTGAACACCTCAGCCCCACCCAGAACAACAATTTAAGTGAGGCAAAACAACAATTATTTGAGTTAAAAACCTGAGCAACGCCGGGTCAATCTTCTAGTGTAGCACAAAAAAAATTTGGGACCAAAAACATGGGACCAAGATCTTCAAAGGGGGCTAATCATAGTGGGTGGCCTACTTTTGGGGTGGTTAGCCTCAGGCCCTCGAAAGCAGCATTTTCCAAAGTAGCACGTCCCCTGAGGAAGGGCAAAGGACTAGCTGGAGCAGGAGGTGCATAAATTGATACAGGTCAGCGTCTAACGCCATACGGCCGGGTTGGACAGGAGTGTGACCAGTTCCATTTTCCTAAAGCAGGGGCTCAGTTTTCAGACGTTTGGGCACCGATCCCTAAATAGGACTTAGTTTTTCGACCATGTCGAGTGTCTGTAAATGAGGTCCTTTTACAGAAGTTCAGGCTATGCACCCAAACCCACAGATC